GAACTGAACTGAACTGAACTGAACTGAACTGAACTGAACTAAACTGAACTGAACTGAACTAAACTGAACTGAACTGAACTAAACTGAACTGAACTGAACTGAACTGAACTGAACTGAACTGAACTGAACTGAACTGAACTGAACTGAAGGTCATCGCGCGTTCTTCAATTGCTGCGGTACCTTACGAAACGTGACTGGGTCCTCCAACCCTTATATTGTTTTTGTGATGAGCGAGACCGCCGAAGGTGAAATAGTTGTGGAAAAGAGAAATAATGAGAATGAAGCCTCAACCAATAATCTAGGTGAGTTCTTTTTTTGTTTCTTACAGCATTAGGAATCGATGAATTCTTGGCTCATGTTCAACTACCCTTCTCCANCGCGTAAACAAAAAGAGTCCATCATCAGTTTTTGTCGGGAGGCATCGATTAAAAGTCCGAATGGATTTGTTGAGAAGCTCAATAATTCGAAGTTTAGTCCTCTGTAAGTACGTGAGGTACCGAAGACAAGCACTGTAGTTCATATAATTTTTTCTCGGAATTCTACGGGCTCACAACAGCATTGGAGCTCATCCCCGAAACTATTTTTCCGAATGTCTCAGATGATTTGGTAGGTTACAAATCTGTTGTTTCCATCTGGCTTCAGTTGGTAAAATGGTGTCGAGTAACAGCTGCTGGCCTGCTTTCTCGTCGCAGAACCCACGCTGGTCTGTTTTCTCAATCTTGCTGGAAATTATGGAAAGCGGTGAGTATTACGTATATAGGCGTTACTGTCAGCAGGCACCACATGTGTTCAATAGGATAATCGGTTTGTTGAAAACGCAAGAACCAACTTCTTACTTTTTGGTCGTCGGGTCTGAATTGGCTAAGTACATTTGTAAAATGGAAGTGGAAAACGCAAGTGACCATAAAGTGAGTTTTGTGCTCGTAACACTCAATGAAATTAGACTTTTTTGCTAGAGAATTTCATGAAGTCCCTTTTCAGTAACAAAGTGACGCTTCCTCCGCATACACTGGTGAGTCCGGTCTGCATGTTCTTTCAGGTCCACTGTTTATTATCAGTAGTTGACGGATAACGTTTCACGGTTATCATCATTATCATCGTCATGAGTGATTGTGAAGGTGTTACGTCGATATATATACATATATATATTCATGATGAAATACATGTGCAATTCAGCCTTGCATTTACGTTTTTCGTATTATTTTTTCCCCACTCGTTTATTCGCAGCCCAAATGTATGGAAGTGATCTCGTATTGTGCTAATGAAGAAAATTTCAAAAGTCTCATGATCCCAAACATTCACCGCGCAATTTTGCGTTCAGCTGAAGCTAACATGAAAAGTAAGACTATGGATATATTTTTGTTTCGCGTTGATAGCTTTTCATTCAATTTTCCAATGAGTTGTGCAAAAGAATTGTGATTCTTCCAAGACTTTTTTATTCAGACGTTTACATCTTTGATTTGTTGAAACTGGGGTGAAGTAGCTGCACAAGACTTGAATGATGTTTACCAACTTGCCACATCTTTGGCTCCGCCGCGAAGCCTGACTGTTTTTTCATCACAACTTTGTGTGATGAACAACAGACTAGGACAACCCCATAGTCATTAGGACCTTTTGTTCAGTGAGAGAAACTGCTAACCGAAGCCCCGGGACTTGCATTGGCGAACCACATAAGGTCCTGCAGGGTTAGTTGTATCAAACGGAACCACAGCAAAGCTGCTTACCACCAAAGTTGGCTGAGGTTCGAGTGTGCACTGCATTATTTGAGTCGGGGCTGCGACTTAGTGTATATTTATATCACATATATGCATCACCGGCTTTCTGACAAACATGGTGCTGACGCCACAACAACTATAGCAGTTATAGGGGATGGTTGAATTGGATTAAAGAACGGAGTGAATTGAAAGTTAAACCGTAGATAATAGTAATGAAAACAGTTTCCTTTTGTGTTTCACAGTACACGTTTTATATTTTTGTGTTTGTTTTTCGTTGTTTTACGGAGCACGGGTTTTCAGCAAACAGTTCGTATAGCATTCGTGCCTCTGAATTCTATTCTGGGCCATATCTTAGTGTCTTTAACCTCTCAGCGACAATTCCTATCCCTCCCAACATGTGCAAAAAGCGCACGGACAGGCATACGCAAAACATAACCAAGTCACCGGAGGCCTTTTAGAGCTATTACTTCTAGAAAACGACTATCCACAACCAACACGCAACGAAGAACCTCATAATTTCTCGCACGATATTCCCATCAGACATGGGAAGTACTTCGGTGGTCGAAAACCGAGAGTGAATGAGTATCTTTCGCTGCCGAACCGCTGCGATGTAGAACCTTTCCTTAGGGGGCAGTGGCGCCGCCATAGGTGTCAGGCTGCTCTAGCTGCAGTTTCAGTTTGTACAGCCACTAACCAATCACTATCGTGCGCCGGTTTTGGTTACTATCTTTCGGCTGGCCATTTGGAGAAACACAGGAAAGGTTGAAAGTAGTGTAGTGAACAGCTGACCCTGAAATACAATGGTAGATGCACCGTTAGCAACGTTTCCACTGCACATTCCTCTTCCACACACGCACAGCGTAAACGACACCGGAAGCAGAGAAAACGTTTATTTCAGAACCGGGGGCGTTCGTATTTAACGTCTCAGTTCATATATATATATATATATGTATATATATGTATATATATATGTATATACAAGCAACGGGGGGTGGGTGGGGCGAGTACTAACCAATGGGAAACGAGTTAGTCTCTCTGGGAATTTGATGTCTCGTTTCTCATAAGGTTTATGCTCCTATGATTCAGGTAAGTTGGAGCTTTTCTGGATAGTTTGAGTGCTAGTGTAGCGATGTTCGGCATGCGCTTTGCACCTTCAAAGTGTAAAATGCTGCTCCAAGATTGGGTTGGTCCAGCCCCCAACCTCACCTTGACCGGGGAAGTTGTTCAGAAAGTAGGCAAGTTTTGCTACTTGGGCAGCTATATCTTACCTGGCGGACGCATAACAGATGAAGTGTCGGCGCGCATACAGAAAGCTCGGTTGGCATTTGCCAACTCGAGACATTTGTGGCGCCGTCGCGACATCCGGCTGTCTATGGAGGTCGAGTGTATGCTGCAGTAGTTCGGCCAGTTCTGCTATATGGAGCATAAACTTGGCCATTAAGAAAACAGGACAAAGATAGACTGACGGTGTTTGAACATCGCTGTCTACGCAGCATTGCATGAATCTGGTGGGGCAGCCGGACGAGCAACGCTGAGGTCAGGCGTAGAGTTTTAGTTAATCGCGGTCGTCCACTGGAACAGNAGGAAAACAGGACAAAGTTGGACTATCGGTGTTCGAACACCGCTGTCTGCACAGCATTGCACGAATCTGGTGGGACAGCCGGACGAACAATGCTGAGGTTGGGTATTCGTAGTCGCCCACTGGAGCAATTGGTCGACCTCCATGGATTACGTTGGTTAGGGCGTGTTACGCATGTCACCAGATAGGTTGCCATGGCGGGCGATGTTTGCCGAAGCAGGTAGCGGGTGGAAGAAAGTCAAGGGTGGTCAAGCCAAGACCTGGCATGAGGGTATGAAAACCCTGAACAGGAGACTGGTCCCGTTATGCTCCCTGGATAAGGACCCAGAGATCATAGTCACCGGTGACTAGGGACACTGAGTGATATGGCTGGGTGTCGCAAACAGTAGCGGTCATGTATCTACTCATTATTCTTGTAACTTCAGTCTATAAAAATGTGCCACCTTTCGCTTAAATCTGCTCTCCACATTCTAATCATCATTCTGCTATTTTATCCAAATGGGCAACCAAAAGACAGCAACCAAAGCCGGCGCGCGAAAGTGCAAGGTTAATGGCTGTAAGAACTGAACTTTGCGCAGTCACTAAGCGGGTCCTCAAAGATGGGGACTACAATCGATCCCCCCTCAAGATGAGGGCACCTGCTCATCTGCCAGACTTTAGGGAACAGAGCCATCAATCCTCGAAGGGGCTCTATTTCACCATCTTTTAAGTGTAGATGTATAGCCGATATGAGTGGAAAAAACACTATCGGTCATCAAATACTGCTGTCTACAACACATTGCTCAAGTCTGATGAGAAAATTAGACATCGAGGTCAGATGCAGAGTATTATCTGATTGCTGTCAGACTGATATAAGTGCTATATGTTTCTATATATTGTGGTTGGGACCGGTTGTTCATATCACCAAATGAACTTTCTTCATGTGCCATATTTTTCGAGGCAGGCAATAGCTGAAAGACCAGGAGTTATCAGACGATGACCTGGCATGCAGGTATGAAAATGTTGACCACGCATCTTGGTCGTATAGGTTCCATCAGGCTTACTAGTGATCCACCTAATACATGGTCCGATACTAAATGAGATAACTGAAGGCTGTAAGCAGTGCTCTTTGCCCTTCCTGTTTTGTACGCTTATCTAGTTTATCCCCAGTCTGTCTTATCTATCTACTGCTCCTTCATTGGTCTACCTGACGGGCAGCCTGGAATACATCAATCAAATCCGGTGCACAGTAATTCAGGATCAGTCCATGTGCAAACTGTCTGTAAAGATTCAATACCTTACCGATATCCGTTGCTAATACGTACCTCTTCTTGTATTCTCGGCTTCGAACGTTGTATACCGGAGGAAATCAAGTTCTCATTGTCAAGCTGAATTGCATGTGTTTGAGAGATTATATAAGTCGGAAATGAAATCGATTATTTTACCCAAAAACTTCTAGGTATTGCCTATTTTAAATCTGTCAGATAAAACAATTTATGTCATGCTTTATTAATATTGACTAAGGCTACAACCGTCCGTGATGCATATTAACTGACCGGTATTACAGGTGTTCGTTTACAGTCTGCCAATCGCAATTCCATTTTGTGACCAATGTTGTATCTCCACATCTAACTGACGGTCATAAATATATCAAGTCTTTCAATTCTCTGTGATCTTGCTCGAAGAAGACAAGTCCCGTGATTCTGATTGCTACATCTGTCCAAAGCACACAAGTAATTGGTTGAAAGCACTTGATGAATGACTTAGTGTATTTCTCTGATGCAATGCAACCGTATTGCGAAATGCCTTGTAATAAAGATTGGTCACCCATGTTTGATCTACATTCGTTCACTGTAAATCCTGGAAACTTTCATCGTTATGCTATTTTATTTATTCTTGCAGTTGACACTTCCCACTTTTCAGGATGTGACACAAAGGATGAGCGTTGTCCTGTTTTTGTAGACACTAAGAGATGTGACTCAACAGAAATCTGTGTCGCACATGTTGTGTGGTCTATCTATTGACCTAGTGTCATCCACCAAATAGGAACAAAACCATAAAAACCTCAAAAGTATGCCTCGAAACAAAAAACTACGGTTATTCATTTCCGCTGGTTGTTTTGCTATTTTCCATTTCCCAGTGTTGTTGCGTTTGCACCGTATATACTTCACAAGGTCTTCCCACTGTTTGACAACATCCCCAAATATCTTTCAGGTGTATATATGCTTATCAACGAAGTTAGCTTTGATCTGAGTTCTCATGCGGTTGAGTTCTCTCAACCGATCACGAAGCATCTTTTCACACTTTCCGATTTGGTACGACGTCACGCAATCAAGGTATTGAGTGCTGTGGTTCGTAAATGCACAGAAAACGAAGCCATAAGTACTATCTACAAGCAGGTAAGTTTTATTTTCTCTGCTTTCTGTTGTTTACACTCCTGATGGATATATGGCTAGGGTGAATCTTCGCAAAATGCAACCTTTTCTGATGTGCTAAGTTTTATTCCCTTTTACTGAAAAAATAAACGGGTTACGCATAGTTCAAAGCAAGCTACCAATGGTCTGCAAAAGCCTTACTTACTGGCTCTCAGAATGCTGCAACGTACGCTATTGCCACTCTTAGCCGGGTATCTCAATGGCTCCAAAGAAGTTTCAATTTGGAAAAGCCGGCCGTGTCGGCTATATTTGTGTTGACATCTCACCCCGCAATTCAGCAGAGATGTAACTGTTTAAGTTGTCAAATCTGCCTACATCCATTATGGAGGTTGAATTTAGGAAACTAATCAATCCAATCTTGAATAGGCGTAATAATACTTTGGAGGTGCAACATGCTTTCCGACCGTGGCTATTGTAATACACAAACCATCCAGAAAGGCTCTCAGCTTACCTGGATCATCAGTCAACATTGCGGTCAAATCAATCGAAAGCCGCTGTCATTTTAAATTAATGGTTTTAAGGAAGTAAGGCTTATTTTCTCTGGTCAGTTGAAGGTAAAAGTACGGTCTGTTCCAATTCTACCCGGCCGGGTTCTCGGCCACAGGAAATGCGATGCCTTTCTATTTTCAAGCTAGTGCATTCTGAGCTCATCTGCTAACTGTTGCACAAACCCACGAATATACCCTATGAGAAAAGCTGATTTCCAGTTATCGTTTTCCATTAACTGGGCGATACGGGGTTGTATTAGTGAAACCGCATGGAAAATCGAAACAGTTGGGGCACGCGTATCATCGGGATTTATTTTCATCTCTCTGGCGTTAACGGGGAAGCTAATCATGTGAAGGAACAGTTATTCAGTGATGGGGGCGCAGTGGTTTAGTCGCTGTCACAGACGTGCTTAGGATCCTTTGGTCCGAGGTTCGAACCCAGCCACCACGACCCGACTTTGGTGATAGCTCTACTGTCGTCCGGTTCAACCAGCAGGGCTTTATATGGTTCGCCACTCCAAGTACTCAGGTTAAGATTACCAGCAGGTTTCTGTGACTATAGTGTGCACTCTGTTTTATATTCATCATACAAGTGTGTGGCAAGAACAGTGTTAGTCAACAACACATCCACTCGAAGATCGTGTGTACGAGTACCGCCATCGTCGTACAACCTCACCGTTACTGTGTCCTGAAAGTCTTTTAATTGACTCCAGTTCTTGAAAATTCTTCAAAAAAATGATTGTATAATGGGTTATCTTTGTGTGATGATCGACCGTCCAAGAGCTATTTCATCCTTTTGGGGTCTCATCAACAATGCTCACTTTTTGTTTCTCACCTAAGATTCGAACCACGAACCTTCGGGTCAGGAGCCGAAACCCTTACCCCTGAGCGAATGACCCAAAGGCTTTGTTCTTGGTTGACGCTTTCTATTTTCATAGGCACGAGGCTCTAATGTTGGTCTTGGATGTGGGTTCATTCATTTAAAAGTGGTCAGTTAAGCTGTTCACGGTGAAAGATGTGATTTTTTAATTACATAATGTAAGTTGAGGTAAAAAGGGGAATCCCCATCGGCAAATAGCATATAATAAAATGGAGGGTAGGGAAACATTCACGAAAGATCCAGTTTATTGATTCTGTTTTAAGAGTGTAAGGTTGTAACTTAGGGGGAAGAAAGTGGGAGGGTGTTCCACAACTTGGCAATTCGGGGAAGAAAAGCAGATTGGAACAGAGAAGTATGATATTTATGAACTGAGATCTGATAGGGATGACTAGATGCCTGTGTACAGGATGAGCAGGTAAAAGTTGCCGGAAAAGGAACTGCCGAGGCAAGTTCCGAAGAACAAAAACTAAAGAGCAGGAATAATGAAGCAACTGCCCGACGATGGGCTAGTGACTGAAGACTGGATATTAGGGAAGGATAATGAATTAGCCGGATGGCCTTTCGCTGAACACGACCAAGAAGTAAAAGAGAAGAAGACGAAGCCCCACCTTACACGCGACTGCAGTATTCAAGGACAGAGTAGATTGGGAAGCTCGTACTTCACGGTCGCATGCATGGTTAAATTACTCAGGGGATTTGGGGTTGCCGGGTTAGGAAAAGTGTGAAGTAAAAAGATCCATACCTTGAAGAACAACGTCGATGAAGTTGGAAACAGATTAGGAAACATCCGAAGAAAAACAACAANAACAATCTTCAAAAGGATAAGAAGCTGGGAAGTCACGGAAACCGTCCCAGTTAGCTGAGCGGTAGAGGCAGAATGTGTGCCTTGAGGGGGTGGCAAATCAGGGTTGGTAAACCTAATGGAGAAAGAAATACTGTAGTGATCCGGTGAGCCAAGCGGAGGGAGAGTACAAATATCTCGAGAAGGAAAAATGACCGAAGTGAGAATTAGATTGAGGGTGCGGGCACGATAACCAGCTCGATCAGGGACACGTGTGGATAGGTCGATTAGTTGGCTCAGGTTGTTGACTAAAGCGAAATGTTCGGCTTCGCACCCCAAAGAAGTAGCAGATTAGGGGGTCAACCAATCCTGATTCTGAACGTTAAAATTTCCTAAGATAGTAATATGGCAGTTGGGGTCAGTTGCAAGCTCGTGTTCAATGTTCGATGAAAAAATCAAACACATCGGAGCCGCCACTATTGAGGGAACATTATGAAAAACAAAAGTAATGATTAAAGGAAGGAAGTCTGAGCTCCAGTCACAGCTGAGATCCACGATTGGAAAAGTCAAGATTTGGTATTCTGAAGGCGGCGACTGATTAGTGAATAAAGGCACAAACACCAGCTTTGGGTAAAAAGGAGGAATGAAAAGTGTATTTGCGTACTTGAAGGTGTGTGGTGTGTGACGGGGAAATTAGTTTCGGTCGAAAAAAGAACGCGAGAAGAACAAGAATGGAGAGATTGGTGCACAGAAGCAATATTGCGGTTCAGTCCACGAAAGTTGGTGAGGGTGATGAGTGTGTTTCCAATGCGAGTGTGTAGAGCGAGCGAGACAATGTGAGCGCTTGTGATTTCGTTCTGTTATGTTTATGTTGTGAGTAGAAGACCGACAACCATGATCCTGAAAATTGGATTGGTGGACGACATACAGCTTCAATAGATCAATAGGTGCACTAACTTTTACAATCTCGTGTTTGTAACTATGGTTTTTTTTGGAGTATTAACGTCGAAATGTGCAAATGGGTCTTCCTGCTAGGTCTCATGGGAGTTCCAATGAAATATGGTTATTTACGGCTGTGTAGAGCAGCTTTAAAACCGGCGCACGAAAGTGCATAGTTAATGGTTGTACAGACCGGACTGAACTGGGTAGCTCCGTACAATAATATTCGTATTCCTAAACCAGCAAAATGTTAAGTACAAATCACGGGAATGATCAGCACACCTACTACTCAGCCACCTAACTTATCCCGTTTTTTCCACATCGTTTTTCCAGGTTCACTCTCAAATTACTGGCCCAGAGGGCAGAAAGGCTGGTCAGGATGTGAGACTGGCAGGACTTACTTGCCTCGGCGAACTATCAGCACACGGTGCAAAACGCACGGCAGTTATCGACAAGGTGGGGACCGCATCCGTCGCCCTTCTATTAGATTATATAGATCAAGAAAGTAAGTGTATTCTTGTCTACTTTCCGGTTGACATGTCATGCAAACAAATATACAAACATCGATTTTCCTTCCACTCACAGGTCACGAGGAGACTTTGATTTATGCCGCAAAACAATTGGCCAAATGGCTTCGCACTTTCAGATCGAATCTGCCCGATCGGTTTCATAATTTCATCAAGGTACGTTTTTAATCACATACCGAATTCGCACCGACAAGAATGAATTACTTGTATGTTGAAGTGTCTAGGATTTGACCCCAGCCGTCCTTCAGGCTCCAACCCAATCCACTATCCTCATTTTACGCAGTCATACTTATGCTCAGAAAGTGCTGGATTCGAGTTTTACTCTCGGTAGATATCATCAGTAGGGTTTATCCACTTGCATGTCCGGGGTGTGAACTTCGAACCTCTCCCAACCACCTCACACCGGGGCTGACCTTCCTCAGTAACCATCGGTTAGTTCGTTTGACTCGTCAGAAGCAGGACTACCTCGATCGGGAGACTGATCAAATAAAGTCTTCCATGTTGGTTTGGGCAAACGTACCTAACGATACATGTGTGGATATGAAGTTTAAGTGAGGAGGATCAGTTAAATCGATATCACTTTTCCCACACTGCTGCTCATGAGTAACTAAGTTGAACGTTACTGATAAAATGTGTCAAAATATAGGTTAGTCTCTGATCCGAATACACGTAATTCGAAATTTTAGCGGGAAAGGTACACCGTGCGCATTATCGTTTCAGCTCCCAAAATAATCGGAGTGAAACATTCGACTCATTCAGATTTTTTTAAGTCTCACGAGCCACTCTTTCGTAATAGACATTCACAGCACGACAATTGCAAATCATTATGTAGTCAAGAATGCTTTCCAGTTTTAACACAACTTATCTTGGATTTTTGAAGTCCTATTTTATTCGTACGGATCGTGATACATCTCCATATGGGGTTTGAAACTGTCATGCCTGCTTCCAACTTGGCTCATTCACGAGGCATACATAACTTGGAATAAGAGTAAAAAATAGCATCAAGGGGTCCCATGGCTGAAAAATCAGTGGTCTCTTGTCAGGTCAGAATACGTAAAGGAGTGTGTATTCACAGTTGGGCTGTGTTGTGTGTTGATTACAAATGTTCATTTTATTTTCTCTTCATTGAAAACTTTGAAAGCGACCAGCGATTTTCGTTTCACTGTATCTCGCTGTACGACGCTACAGATGACGATGATGAGAGTTGATGGTCACATGTGATTCGTTCTCATTGTATTTTTTTAATCATCAATGGTCCTTTCAATATTTTCCCTGGGATTTATCAAGTCGATGATTACGGTGCATCATTATGATTCATTTGCAATTATCTGTTTCAATAGTCTTCAATGTCAGAAGTGCACCTAGTTTAAAAAACACTGCACACGATTACCAAGTCTCTGGAATTGCTGATCTTAACGCGATACTTTCAGATTGCACAAACTAAAGTAAATGTTGGTGTTCAGTAAATCATATTACATTTGTCGAAAGAAAATGTCAACTCCCTTTCCTTACGTTTTAGGCAAAAGCGTTTGACCCCAAACTCGCACCTCCAGTTAGATGTGCTTATCTTATGTGCCTGAGCGCAGGATTCACTAATGGTAAGTGTTCTGATGTGTGTTCTTGTGAATCACGATTGTGTGTGTGTGTGTGTGTGTTCCGTTCGTGAGTTAAGCCGAATTTTCTTCCAAACTAGCTACTGGTACAAAAATGATGCATAGCGATTCGCATTGGAACCTCAACTTGATTTTTAAGATATCACCAGACTGTGTGGCAAACAAATTACAGTACAATAGTCATTATAAAAAAAGTTCCATGACTTACTTGTGGATGATATACTGATGGGCTATGAATACATCTTCATGACAAATCTTTCTAAATTATGGATAGGAAACACGAGACCATCGAAAGAGAAACGACCTTTACAGCACTGTAAACCCTTGCTCACAGCAGTCTGATCTCACCGATCGGTTATATGTTGTAGCACAGTAAGGAAGCAAAATGTACTACGCATCTGAATTTCATCTGACTAACTTCAAAACTCGCAACCCATGGCTTCAAAAAACACTATCACATTTTCGGTGGCGTGTTGGGTGATGAAGCAGCAGCTGCAGCATACGCACCAAAAGATCTGATTCTACATATCAAGCAAATACCAGTGAAAATTGCTTTACATTATTGAACACTTAGCAAACCTTTCGAATATCAAAAATACTTGACGATCTTCACGCAAAGCCTCTCTTAATGTGCCATCAAACGCAATGTGGTTTTCTTGCCGGAACAGAGAATTGGTAGTAGAGATAGACCAACCCGGAGGAGTGCACTTGAAAGCAGTGAAAATGGATAAACCAACACGTAAAGAAAAACACTAACGAAACACTACACATCGTTTTTTCAAACAATCAACTATTTCCCTCAACACTTTCCGAAGGTGGATTTGGTCATATGATTTTTATGGATGACGAAGAACACCAAATAACCGTGTGTTTCGGTTGCTACTTAAATTAAAACGGATTCTATTTCCTCCCCCATTTTCCCGTCATGCAAATCTTGCCGATCGTTGTTCCGTCGTCATCCTTTCAGTGCGCATTGGTGATCGGTTACCGGCAGCGATCCTCCCAAATCTATTGACCTCGGTGCAACGCGCTATCGGACAGCCCAATCATTCCCCGGTCGTTTTTGAATCGGTTATCGCTTCTTCAGTCTGGCTGAGACATTTCGTCGCTAAGTCTGATCCGCTGACTGAGGATCGCGTCAAGTCGGATCTTATGTCCACTCCTATTTGGGCTATGCTTTTCGGTGGGACAGCTGCCGTTAAGCGTCGACCTTGGTTCAGCGAGCGATTTCTACAGACTGCACCAGATTACGGTGAGTATACGCAAAGCTTTTTAAGACAGTTTTCTTGAATTCATGTCCCTCCTAATGACGAATTCATTCGCTTTTTGTGCATTTCAATAGTAAGAAACAATCATCTGCCGGATTACAGCTCATATATGCGATCCATTCACACATACTAGCTACAATCGCCTCTGATCTTCTCACTTGTGGTTGCTATTCCACCGTAAAGTGGGATATGAGCACTGGCTTCAATTTTTTAAACGGATAGTTTCTTTTGTAGCCAGCAATTGTTATTTCCAGGAAACTTATCAAATCGCGTTGCAGGCGTTTGAGGAAAGTACAAACAGGACATACCAGCACGTGTATTGATGAAAAAAGCAAATGGAACTGATGAAAATGTACTTCAATATACCGAACTAAAATACCCAATTTCAAACGAGTTGTATGTTTGGAACATCAGTGCGACAGCCCCAGTCGGCTCATGACATTAAATTTGGTAGGTTTTTTACTTTCAAGGATTCTACTGAACAAGATAAGGAATGTGTTCGTACCTTCTGCTTTCTCGTCTTCAGTTTTCGCTACATTAGTAGAGTGCGAGGTGAATATCAAAAAAATTCATATAACCGTCTCATTCTTTCACACTTGATTATTTTCTTTCATTTCCGCGTGAGTCATTATCAGTCAGGTTTCAGCTGGTCCCCTGAATTATCTAAATTATCGCAGTGGGTTGTTTCACTTATTTTGCATCCAGTGAGGATGCATCTGTTCGAATAGTCTTCCTAATTACCAGTCGCGTTGTAGACATGTGAAACACAAAACAAACATTGTTTTGGGATGCATTACTTTAAAGAAAAATGGTTTGCCACATGGTATATACATCTAAATAATTTACGGTATCTCAGCTGTCGATAAATACGGAAAATTGCTTCTAGAGACCATCACTATTTCATATCTTCGCCAAGAGTTTGAGCTTTTGTGCACAAAACGGTTCGTGGTTCCCTTTTTTTGAAAGTTTATCGATACTTTATTAGGTGCCAAATATTGCTATCGCTTTTGTCATCCAAGCTATTTACACGCTTATGGATAAATTTCGTTTTCCGTTTTTTTTTTCTTGCAGTTCTTTGTGAATTGGCCAGTCTCCTTGAAGTAGTACTGCGTGAGTTGTACGCATTCATACCGGCCAACGCGATTGGGTAAGTATCGGAACGAACAATTTGTGGCTTTTTTTAGTTTGAATGGCGTCTCAGTTAAACGTAAGGTTTTCAAAATGCATAAACTAACTCCAGTGATCGGTAAATTTTATATCACACTCCCATCCTGTAGTAAGTCATGGTTAACTAGGGATCCCCACCGTTACTTTACCCCACGTTCGTCATGCAATAATTTGTGACATTCATTGGTGTCTGCACACTTTCTGTCGTGTGATCTGCTAGCTGTAATCAAATTGAGATCGAATATCTTGAACAATATGAAGTTGTTCGCCGATCCCTTTTCGCATGGTTCGTAATACCTGGAGGTTAAGGATGAAATGAGCGAGGTTAGTCGCTCGCAAGCAGCTAACTAAGATAGGTTATGCTATATCTTGTGTGAATGAAGTTAAACAGTTTGATCAATTAGATGGACAATGAGCTGGCATTCTTCCTACAAGGTTTAATCTCCAGGTTGNTCCAGGTTGTTCGATTTATTTGCTTCTCTACTGATGCCTCACCTAGGTTTTGGTAGCTGTACATTCCTTCCCAGTTTTTCAGTCCATGTTTCCTTTAGTCTGTAAATGACCTATAATCGAATCGCTTTTACATTTAGAATGCTGAGATCATTCTATGCAGTTAAAAACTAGTTTATTTCTCCATGCACAGGCTTGTTCGAACCAAAAAAGGATTTGTGTAATTCTTGATGGAATCAGGTTGATCACCGCTATACTGTTCCTCAGATATTATCCTTGAAAAAAATTTTTTAGTCTCGGCGATGCCATTGTTAGCGTGTCGATCATCATACTTTTTGCCAACTGTTATATTCCGAAGGCTGCGCACTACGATCACTTTTCTATCTATCCAGTCTCCTTAATTCTTTCACTGATTTTCTTTTTTAGTCTATTTAAAAAAAAACGAAGCTCCGAAAGATGTCAGTGATTGNTTAGAAGCATCATTTCCTCCAAGCTCGAGATTTGATATGCCACTTGATAAATCCTGTATCGTTCTCAATTGTATCTGTGGCACTAAGTTCTTCCCTGTCGAAATGTCTTTTCTTTTATTAAGGTATATTGATATGCAGCAGATTACTCATGATAAGCAGGCGTTTATTCACAGTGATTATTATGAGAAAACTCAAAAAATACCTTTTTCTATATTGACACAATCACGTTTCCCCCCCCTGCCCACTGGAATTGTAGCGCCATTCACCGAACGTTGGTCCTGCTTGCGCTACATCCATTTTATGAACAAGTTCGCAAGCCGGTTTTACGATGTCTTACTTCATTGGTAGAGAATTCAGAGCCCTCTGTGCGATTCAAACATGCGGGCCAACTTCTTCGTGAACTGGCCTCGTGTTTATGGGAATCTGACGGGGATAAGAAACCGTTGAAGTCCACAGATTCCGCAAACCAGAAAACGGCCAAACATGGCGAATCCAGTGTCACTCAGTCGGAAAACGTCGGATTGCGCGTGTGGAATGATGTACCCACCAATGGACCCGAATCGGAACCTCCTGGTTTAACAAACGAACAGACGCGATCCCGTGTTGTTGGTGCCTATGTGGCCAATCTAATAACAACCCTACTTGGTTGCTGTCGCATGGAGCAAAAAGATGGGAACAAGAATACCGGAAAGAGGGCGGACTTGAAATGGCATGCCTACCCGGTACCGGACTATTGGCAAAGTGTTGTGGACACATATCTCGCATCTTTGCTTCCTGCTAGCCACCCAGTGATATGTAAGTCGATCTTTTATTCAATGTAAAACTCCTTTGGGATTGAGTTGTATTTTCTTGTCCCACGATTTTTTAATGCAAGTTTCACATCCGGGATTGAATGGTCTGAAAATCAAATACTCTCCGACCACTCTAAAGAGAATTTATATATGTGGCGGTGACTTAATCGACCCGCGCCTTGGTGATATAACTGTACTCATGTGGTACTGTGGTACATACCCCCCCTCATGCAATTTGCATCTGGTTGATGGTTGATATCAAAAAAACGCATATCAAATTATATATATATATATATATATATATATATATATAATTTGATATGCGTTTTCCTGTCACACCGTAGATAATTGAGGTAATCTTGATTACTCACCTTTCTGAGAAGTTAGCTGTCAACTTTGGGTCCGTAGCTTGAATTAATGATCTCTGTAGACTGGATTTGATATCAATGGGAGTGAAAACCATGCCATTTATTATCTTAAAAGTCAAAACCCAAGGGTGCTATTGATGTAAAATGACGGCAATCAACCTACACTACCGTCTGTGAAGAATATTTGGTGGTAGGCAGGTTCATTACTATCTGACTCCGCCTATCCAGATGTGGTTCCTCATTTCAAGTCCTAGTGCTTATTTTGCTTGCTCCCACAACGGAAAAGTTGTTTCCTGTGACTGATTCTTCACTATTGATGTTCGTTTTACTAAGGGGCGTGATACAAAAAGGCGTGAGATGCATCGCATTACGTGTTGTAGTGCCCATCATTCCCTGTGTTTACACAATACATTATTATTATTATTGTTATTATTATTATTAATTATTTCATTCTAAAGCAAGTGAAAATAGTATTTTTGAATAGTTGAATTCAATATTCAGTTTATCAAGCCCACAAGCTCTGTGAGGTAAAGAAGCACTCCCCGTGTTTCCATGTCCACCCTAACAATTTGTTTGATTTCGTTTCCTCACCCATGCATTACTACTGTAGCTACTACTGCTATGAGGTTTTCTAGTTTTTAGGTGTTTTCTTGTTGTTGTTAGATCATCGGGAGCGGTCATCACATGTCACAGTGAATTCCTCATTCTTTTCGTTTCTGTAATCAGCCGTTCCGATTCCGAATCTATGGGAAAGATTGCGTGAGCGTCTTCATCTACCGTCCATCGTTGACAATCCCGAATGGTCTACAATGATCGGGTCGGATTACCTCGCCAACAAATGGACCAAATGGGTAGAGTATTTTCTCCAACTTCCTTGCCTGGATCAGGTAAAACGAAAGCCCACGCTTGATTAACGCGTTCTTCTTATCTGTAGGGTTATCGACTTGCTGTCCAGCGGCTATTCCTTTGGTCCTGTAAAGGATTTGGGGGAACATTGTTCGAACAAATCCATACTCAGCTGTCAGGTAACAGTTTCGCTTCTGTCTCAGAAACAGAAGTACAAATCATGCTAACTCCGAGTACTCAGCTTTACAACCACGAACTGTTAGAGAGGTGAGCTTGGTACACGGTTTCAACCATAGCGTTATTTCACAGATTGTCATGTCTTTCCACAACAGTTACTTGAGTATCCAAATCAATATACCGTTAAGTGATGCTTCACATTGATTAATCAAATGTAAAACCAACTGGGGTTAGTATGGGACTCCATCATGCAGAAAGCATCTCATGCGGAGATGCCTTTACTACTAAACGGTTTAGTACAATTTACATGTCTTGTTCATCCCTATCGAGCATGTTGTTACTGTTGTTAGCTTTGCTCCATAAGGATGGAAGCAAGATAAGGTGTTCCGCACGGCACAGTCTATCACAGTTTTTGCTACTGTGGGTTAGCTCAGATTAGGTTAGCTCATTGCTGACAGCAATGAACGCCGACCCAGTGAACCGTTATTTTTAGACTGATAATGAGCACATATATAGCAAAAAAGCGGAAGACTGTACTGACGTCAAAATAACACGATGGTCAATACAGGCAGTGAGTAATGGTAATTAAACAGCTGGGCAATCCAGCACTTTACTCATCGCAGATAAGCTCACATTACATTCTTGGGTCATATTCACCGTGCAACCATGCGTGAATGGAATGAGAGTTGTACCGTTGAAGTTGGTGCAGTCAATCCATCAGATCTTTTCAAATTCACGGATTCCCTCAATTCAGAGAAGATAGGGTCGGTGGTCTTCACATCTCTCGAGTTTCGTTATCTTAGAATAGAACTGGGGAAGTATTCAAGGTATGGTGCCATCATTGAAGAAACTACGCAAAATATCGCTACGGTCAGACCTCTCGTCAAGAGCCATTAAATCAAATTATAAATTGGTGAACTGAGGTCACAAATAGGTGCATTTGGATGGATTGTGTTGCTATGGATTTAGTCATGCTTTGCGACGCTGTTTTGAGCAAACTTGATTACGATTCAGGTGATCCTCGTCTCAAGTGTTCGCCGGGAATAACGAAGAAAGTGAAGAGATGAAACTCAAAATGTCCCTCTGCAGATTTCACGGAAATTGCAACTGAAAAAAACGTGGAGATAAATAAAATAGTTCACTCACGTCCAACCTAGAGGGGCCTTATGTTGTTTGCCGCTCCAAGTCCAGGGGTTTAGGTTACCGGTTTCCATGTTTGAACAGCGGGTTCTCATGATTATGGATCTTACCCCGTTCGCTGTTCATCACAAAAATGTATGTAATGAAAAAATCACTGCGCACCTCTTACCACATATGATATTTGCAATCTCCATTTTCTTTATTTCATAATTTCAATGTTTTGTGGTTGATTCCAATGCGATTGAGTACATCCAGCTACTCTAACTTTGTCAGTATGTCTTAAGAGGATTGCCTGTGACAGTTGATGCTATCCTGTGCAATTAATACAAATTTTGCTATTCTGAGAGTACAATCTGACCTGAGCGGTGATGGTCACCTGGCTAAGATAATCATTACAGCTACCCCGAGGTCGTTTATTTGAAGCCCGTCATCGCTGCTCATATTTCCTTATTCTGTCTGTCCCTAGCCGCTTTGGATCAACCACAGACCCCTTCCTAAAAATTAACTTTAAAATTGTATATTCACTCATCGAATGGAGTTCGAAATACTTTATGTACTATTATTAACAGGGATTTTCGAATTTCATATGCACAAGGAATTTTTTATTCAGAAAACCAAATAAGAATACTGCAGATCTTATTGAACAGGTTTTGTCAATAACGAAGAATGATTTTGTATGAATTGCAAACCGCGTTGGCAGCTAAGAAAATAAAAAGCACTTTTAGTTTTTGCAGCCTGCGTTATTTGACCTGATTACCAGCTCTGATGTGGTGATAGAGCTTTTAACAACGAAAACTGAGGTGCGTTGTGAGGTATCTGGGCTCAAACGGGACATGAGCTAAAGTAAAACAGGATGCCAGTATCGTTACCGTGTTGTCGGAAAAGCTTTATCTCCATATCTTTTACTTTCATTTCCGTCGATCTATCAGTTTGCCACGATATCAAAAGACGATGACAAATGTGAAGCGCGAAAGTAAGCTATATTCATATGAAGTCCAACTGGATATAATGGAAGCTCAAAAGAAGCGTGAGGAAATGC